ATATATACAGTCAACTCTCTCGTAAGCGACCACCTCGGGATCAGGAAAAAGTGGTCGCTTACGAGAGATGGTCGCTTACAGGAAAGTTTCTTTTACAAAGTTTATATGGGAAACAATTATAACGGGAGATTTAAAAGGTGGTCGCAAAAGGGATATGGTCGCTTACGAGAGTGGCCGTTCAAAGAGTAGTTGTCAGTTTTGATGAGCAATTTGAAGCCATGCGACGTCATCCATTTCCCAGATACGAAACTATCACTACTTGTTGTCTGTGACGAAACGAAACTTATGCGCCGTTTGAATATTAAAATGTAGTTACTTATGATAGTGTACTATCACGGACAGCAAGTTGCTTATGACAGATGGCTGTATTCACGCAAAGACCCGCGGGTTGAGTCCCTCGCGTGCAGAATCACGTTTTTTTTGTTATCAAAATATCTGATGTACTGTACTTACTGGCTTTTTCTTGAACAGAGCCAACAACTGAGGAGTCTTCTTCGTTCTACAGAAAAAATATACATGTCACATTAATAAATCATTAATAAAAAGCACATATCACTAGTACAAGCCTTACGCAAAGGCGTGAATGACAGCATAACAGAAAATACTAACATTCCAATAATAAATAGTAACATCCTGGCTAAAAAGTTTTCTTTCGCTGTAAATTACAGCGATTCAAGGTATCTAGTAATGTACAAATTACAACCAAGCTACCRTATTTAATAGCAATTCTAAACAGGCTACCGGAAGTAAACTGTACAAAGGAATCAAAATAATCTAGGATTTCTAAYCAAACTTATCAGAAACATACATTCTTAATTATCACTGTTGTTAGTTTGTTCATCGACTTCCAAATGAAATACCAAGCAACAATCTCAACGATAATGGTTCATGAGCAGATAAGTCAAGTCATGTCCACCGTCATCAAACGCCTTTTATACGTACATTATTTGAACGCACATCGCGAAACTCAACAACTGTATTTACGGCTGGAGGACACGAGTTTCTTCGTCTAAACAAGAGCCTTAAGCTTCTTCTGTAGATACCTAACCGCTGTAATGGCATAATCCTTATAATGATCTGCCTACAACAGGCAGAGCTTTTGGTGCGGAAATCGGGCGACAAGTTCAATCACGTTGTTGATTGATGGACATGTAACGCAAAATCAACGAAAAAAGATTTAAGTCCAACATAGCATATATTCACCGCAAACCATTATTTCAGCATAGCATAGTTACGTACTATGAACATAGTCAAGTATCACTACAAATGCACTTTATAAAGCAATAAGAATAAGGAAAAAAGCGAATCAACAATAAATTTGTGTAACGCAATACAGAGCACATCTCTAACGAATGTAACGCAATCCAAAAAGAGCGGAAATATCATAGATTCATATGACACAATGTAAAGCCTCAAATCGAATTGACAATTTATTTGTCCTGTCCTGTCCTGCCGTCATCGCCAGTGTTTAATACCCCTAGACCACCTACTTGAGTAGATCCAGTTCATTCTAGAATTCTTGAGGGATCCGCACACTGGACCGATTTTAAAGAAGAACAGTGGCTGCAGAAATCGGCGAGTAGAAGACTTCTAAAACACTTAAAACATCGAATGCTATCGCTAAATATATCCGTCAAGTTAAATTTCTTACACAAGTCGCTGGCATCTCAAAACCACGCATTGGACAAGAGAGACATAAGAGGACAACTGATAAGAATTCCAAAGAATAATGTTGCTTTTTAATCGACAAAACGTACCTTAAACTTGGGATATATTTGAATAAAAACAATGAACGGTATCGCAACGATAAATCAATAACCGATCAAAGACCTAACGGTTATCCGGACATACCGACACTGTCGAACACATCCCGACATATAGACGAACATAAACAGCCAATAATGAGTGATATAAGAAAAGGCATTTTGAATAGCCAATCAGAAAGTGGCTTAGTTCAGCCAACGCCAGGGTCATCTCCCCGACGACCGCCATCTTGAAAAGGAGTCGGCCGAGATGGCCCTGGGGACGAGGTTG